AGCCACCTTCCTGGAAGCAGTTATACTGTCCATAGCTTCCGCTGAAAAAAAAAAATTAATACCAAGAGTTAGAAAAATTAATGACCTAAAACTCACATCTGCTTAAAAAAGAACAAGGTGTCGGCTACCTCTTGAGACCCGACTACTCAGGCCACAGGCGGCTAGGAAGAATTCGTCATATAGCCACCTGAATTTGGAGATACAGTGTAAAGGCACCTGCTCCCGTTCCCCACTAGCAGGGTTGAGTTGTGTTTTCACCTTGAAGAGTCCTCGGTCCAGGATCTCTTCTCTCGCTTTGCGAGGAGCAGGCGGCAGGGCAGCACCGCCTGCAAGGAGGGGCAGATTCCTATTCCATCTGTTGTACTGCTTGTTCAACAGAGGGTCAGAGGTTTGGATAAGGTAGAAGGTGTTCCTCCAGTCCTTCCACTTGTTTTCCTTCCCTCTTGTCATCAAATAGCCCTTGTGGCTTGATAGCTGGTACCAGCCGGTACCGCTTGCTTTGGGGGTCCGACTCAAGTAGTTCATATGGGTGAACGCCTCAAAATTTGGTTCCACCCCATGCATTTCACATCCGGCCACATAGCCAAGGATGTTAAACCAAGAGTTAGGGGCTAGCTGCCATAACCCCACCTCGTACCCATCGAGGATTTTCTGAACAGCCAGATGCAAGGGAAATCGAAGCCCTGCCTTAATGGCTGCCTCATAGCAACCAAAGCAAGCGTCCCCATAACTAATCGTCTCAGGCCAGACAACCGCATCCTCAACATCCGGCACGAACAAATCAAAATCTGGACCCATCACATGGTCCGAGAGAAAGGAGTCCAATTTTTCTTTCATGGCCTTGATGCGGCCCTTTGGAACGTGGCAGAAATAAGCAGTGTTCAACTCCCTGTTAGAGGCGGATGGTTCTGACCATTCGTCCCCCTTTTCAACCGCATGAGAGAGTCTTGACTCATGCAGTCGGGAGTGCCTCTTCTCTGAGTTCAAGGAGTGATGGCTTGAAGAGCTAGAGCTTGACTCACTATCAGAAGAGTCCGACTCCTCGTCTTTCTTAGATGGGACCGACCCCTCTCCTTCTGAGGAGGTCAACTGTCGACTGGCTAAGTCAACAGTGAAATGGGTAGGGTACACCTTCGCCCCTTCTTCTGAGCTCTCAGCGACAGAGCCGCTTTGGTTGATTTCAGCATCAGGCGCCTGGTCAGAGGTCTCGCTGACCGGCACATAGAAGGAGGAGCCGTCAGAGTTGGTGATCCTGGTTGTTCTTTTAGTTCGAGCCATCATGTTCTGCACAAACACGGAGACAGTCGAGCTATGTATAAAGGGCAAAGATTGGTCCGAAAAGGGGCAGGCGGCACTCCTAGTCCTAGATTCAGCCGTCCCCGGTGACCGACTGATCACTACTCTAGGTCGTGCCGGTTGCTTTCGAGGTACCATAGTTCAAAAGAAATAAAAAAAAAAAGAAAGAAAAGTAAGAGAACAGACGGTTACCTGAATAATTGAAGAAGTGACGTTGAAAATAGCAGAGATCTGAAAAATCAGTCGGCTTGACAGATCAGGCGGTAGGCTATTAATGTCCAAAATGTCAGAGCAAGTTCAGGGATCCGAGTGCTCTCTTTCAAAAGTTCTCAAAGTGTGAAAATAAATCTGAAGTGAACACGCCCTTATATAGGCAAAATGAGAAGTCGAAGGGTCACTTCCAAAAATTCAAAAATGAGCGGGAAAAATCTTCGGCCACTCACCAAGCGACACTTGTAGCAGACCGTCGCCTGTTACAGGTCGCCACCTGTCACAGCTGACATATGAGCAGTCACATGCCACCTGTGAGGGGCAAATGATTAGGGGATTCCTCCCTACCAATCACCATCTGACAAGTGGACCAATTAGGTTCCGCCATGTGTCCGCCACATGGGCCAATAGGAGCCTGCCACGTGTCAAGCATTGATCTGTCCACCATGGACCAGTTACGACACGACACGTGTCCTCCCCTATGTCAACCAGGCAAAACGGCCACCTAGGCCCAATCCTTGGAAAAAGCCCAGTCATCCCTAGGTTAACCTAAACCTAGCATTTGGCACGCATCCCAAGGCATATAAATATGATCATTAATCCTCATTTAAGGGGATTATGTTCATTAATTACTCTCACCTAGAGAAAACACTCTACCTTTTCCCGCATTAATTACTCCTTAAACAAGTACTAACTTGACCGTTGGAGGCGGAACTCCTACCACCCGGAGTCTCCGTTGTTTTGCAGGTACAGACGCCCGGTTCCAATCTCGGAATTGTAACTCTCCCGCAGGATATCAAAAAACCCCGAAACACATACCATACTACATATTGATTCATAGAAAGTGATTTGTGCAATTATGCAGTTTCAAAGCAGCTGTCAAATTGTAGAAGACAAACTTTTAACAAATTGATTATTTCTCTCATAAAACCTATAAAAGGTTATATGAAATAATCAAATAATGATGCAAAAGAGCGCATAAAAATAAAGTACAATTAATGTATGATATACTCCATTTAAGTACAACATCGTAATTCTATACTTCTATTGAAGAGAAGTTTTATTCAATTCAATATAAATCCAGATATTTGTTAGATTTTCAAATATATTGTAATAAACTAATAATCATATGTCTTTCCATTAGTTTACTCTGAGAGCTCCAATTATCCATCTTTGACATAGTGATAGTTAGGGGTGAGCAAAAATTTCGGGTATTCGAAATTGAAATCGGAATCGGTTAGGAACCGGTGGGTTCGGAACTGGAATTGGAGCCGGTGGTTCCAATTCCGGGTAATGAATTAAGGACCCGGTTGCATGCAACCGGTTTTAATTCCAATTCTCAATTTTTTGGAACCGAAATCGGTTGGGTACCCAGTTACTCAACATATATTTAACTAAATATTTTTTAAAAAAACAAAAATATGTTGAATGTATCTAGTTAGTACAATAATATATAATGTCTAACATAAATAAAATAGCTTAATGCATATAAAAATATAAGTATTAAACGTTAAAAATGAAAATAAACCAAAAAAATATTATGATTTGTATTATATTTTAACAAGTACATATACAAGTGGGCACCCGGAATCGGAACCGATACCCGGTGGAACCAATTCCAATTCTTAAATTTTAAGACCCGATTGTACCGGTTTCAATTCCGATTCCGAATTATAAGACCCGATCCTAACCAATTCCGAGTCCGGATCCTAAAATTTTGACCGAATACCCGGTTTGCTCACCCCACTACTGATAGTTTTAATCTACAAGAACACTATTTCAAAACAATTCACACTTTCATTATTAAAAGTGCTCTCGTAGCTCAGTTGGTTAGAGCACCCGTTTAGTAAGCGGGAGGTCTTGAGTTCGATTCTCAACGAGAGCATATTCCATTTTTTTGGGTTTAGTATTTATTCCTCAAAAATACTTCCAGTTTTATTTTTGTTCAAAAATAAGACAAATTGGCGTCGCCCGGATTCGAACTCCGACCCCCAGTGTGTTAGACTGACGTGATAACCAACTACACCACGACACCTCAGTAACATCTTACTTTTACATTATCCAAGAAGATTACCTTATTCATCCCAACTCACCAACATGGCAGTTGGCTTACCTACTTAGAGAAGACAAATTAGTAGTATTAGCTAAGCCTAAGCCAAAGTTAATGACATTTTCAGACATCTGTTTAAATTTCAAATTGTTTTATTCTGCCAACACTTGACTACGTTTATTGCTAATCAAAAGCTTTTGTATACATTGTCAATAAAGAGGACTAGAGGAGTGCTCCATTCTCCAAGACTTGCAGACAGCTAGTCAACCACACCGGGGTGGCCGGGTATGCTTTCATCTTGAGAGATTAACATAAAATCATTCGCATTGCAAATAAAATCAAAGATAGTCCGATAAAACATATACTTCTATTACTCATTTACTTCTCAAACCAATGCAAAAATAAGCCTGCTCGTATTACTTTAAGAAATGAATGAAAAGCGCCAATCATCGGTAATCTACTACTCCCTCTGGCCCTTTATTTTTACACCATATGACTCATAAAGCTCTTATAAAAAGTAAGCTCATGGTGCACCCAAAAAAAAAAAAAAAAAAAAAAAAAAAAAGGAATACCGAACTAATTGATTAAATGTATCGAAGACATTTGTGGCTGATAGAGTTAAGAGTCTTAAGATCATACCAATAATGTTTGTTATCTAAAACCAGATAATAGATATATTAAGAGTAAAATGATTCAAACCTGTAATATAAAGCAAAGTATATATCTTGTGCTATTACATCTTGGATTACACAAAAACATCTTCATTTCCATCACTAATGTTCTTGGTAACAATAAAAATCACAGGCGTTTGAGCGTATGGACCTGCTCTAGCTAAAAAGTGACAACTAAAATAAAAGCTTAAAGGATAATTGTCTCCAGTTATAATGTTGAGCAAATTAGCAAAATGCCAAATGCAAGATGGCAATGAGAGCACAATAACCATGTGTGGCAAAGTACTCTACGCAATTTAGAAGACTAATGAAAATTAAAAATTACACAAAATGCTCTCGTAGCTCAGTTGGTTAGAGCACCCGTTTAGTAAGCGGGAGGTCTTGAGTTCGACTCTCAACGAGAGCATTCCATTTTTATTACTTTTTGGTCATAGCATTCTGCTGCTTCATTGATCAGACAGTAGTGTATGACGTGATTTTAATCCAACTTATGCCTATGGTTCATATATGAACGAATATTCAACGTGAAGCCAGAAGTTTGGCCTTTTCGACTTGTGATTTGTGAAGGAACAACACTGAAACTTCATTTCTAAAATGTCTGATGAATTTTAGATAAATAGAATCTCAGTCTTCACATTATTTAAGGTCACGATGAAAAGTGTATTTTTTTGGTTGCTGGAAAAAGATTCAGTGAAAGTTGTTTGACAAGAAATAGGTTGTTAGTCCTATACAATTGATCTAGCTGATTCTCATATTCTCTTAACCACGAATAATGAACCAAATGCATAAAAAGCTAATATATTCACATCAGCTGAATGGTTCCTGGACTATCTGGGGATGCAGCCTGTTATAATACGAACCTCTAAAACTACAACATTATAGCAATTCAGCAAACATATACATGTATAGACCAATTATCCAACTGACTACTAGTAATGCAGTAACATGTATTTGAGAGATAGATGCACAATCTCAGCTGCCTTACAGATTACAGATTGCATTACTTTGTGATGGACATAGTTCTGCAGGCAACAGTGGATAAGTAATGCACAGAGTTTTGCTGACAAAAGTGGCTTCATCATATCCGAACGATGGGACTATGGACATGGCAAGTATCTAAACAGCAGGTTGTTGAAGGGAAGCAGCAAAAGACTACTTGAGGACAACGGCAGCATTTCTAAGAGCCAGATACCGCTGCACGTAATCATTGGGAAGTGACCTGATTTGCTTAAAAACTTCAGCATTGGCATACCGCATATTGGTCCTTGGATCAGAATAAGGTGCCTGCGGGAAATAATAACAAATTTCTCTCACACTAGAAAAAAACCTACTATATATGAGCAACCACCTGTTTATTTGTTTACTTATTGGGTGGCAGAATTACTGATTAATCTTCATGAAAAACAGGTGAAGGATACTCATCAACTAATCTTTTACGAAGTATATCACAAGGATTGGCAAAAAAAATTGCTTAGTAGCACCTAGCACTGAAGACCATCAATGTAACATCAGAGGAATACTAAATGCATCAGTCTAAAATCTTCAATGAAAAGTTTCTCGTCACCTCCATTTGGACTAAAGAACTTTTACTACCTACTCCAGTCTCCAACTGAGTTCCACTTTCTTATCAAACTCAAGGCATAGTGTGTCTGTTTATGGAGTTACACTAATCAAAATTCTGAGTAACAATCAACAAAAATTGATGCATTCAGAAGAGTGATCTTGAAATTCAGCAATTTTGAAGCTACTATAACCTTAGCATTCATTAAGCATAGAATTTCCTTAATTCCTTGAAAGACCAAAACAAAAAGGAACCACAGCACTTGAGTTTAAGTGAGGGAAGGGAATCAACCTTCAGCCAAACACACCAACATCATTAAAATATGAAAGTTTCTCAAATATTGGCATTAAAGTTTGTACCCTATTCCTTAACTACAATGAGAGCACATTTTGATTAAAAATTTATCTTCTAGGCCTATTAGACTATCCACTGTGCCTTTTAATAAACACAAACTGAGTTGATTTTAATTACCAACATCTAAAAACTCACCCATGGTAACACAAATAAAGGATGAGGGTCACAAACAATTAGTTTTTGGTATGAGAAGATGATAATCATTTACAGACTTACAGTAACAATTGTAGCATTGTATAAGAAGGGACTCACCTCATATCCTGTAAAATCACAAATTCTCTTTGGTGGATGCATTGAAGGTGGTGACTCGATATTGACATCTGTGAACAAACACCCACAAGGGGGAAAAACACAATATAAATTTCATCAGGGACACGTCAAAAAGCAATTGAACTGCTTGGAGATATAAACGAAAAATACCTTCAAATCCTTTACATACGCGAAAATCCATATCCTTACCATAATAATTCACACACAAATTTTGACAGACAAATAATTCAATACCCCTTCAAAAAAATGTTCTTAAAGAAAACGAAATTTTGTAAGAAACCACCTTTAAATCCTTGTATTTGTGAAAAACCACCTTTTAAAAAAAATTGTTGAAAAAACCACAAAAATTAATTTTTTTTTGTTGTAAAAGCTCATTTTCTTGCAATAGGTGGTGAATTAAATTGGGTGGTTTTTCCCCCCTTTTTCTTAAGCGGTGTTTTTTCACAAAAAACAAGGATTTAAAAAGTGGTTTTTGACAAAATTTCCAAAAGAAAATCACACATCAAATCCACAAAAAACACTTAAGACAAAGCATTGCAGCAAAACCCAAATCGAAAGTTATACATCCTTCAAAAACACTTAATACATCATCTTTTTGGTAGCGAATAAAATGTGGAAAATTATGCAGTAAGAATGAGAAACTCACAATTGGGTTCATCAGGAGGGTAGTTGCTGTAATTTTCAGCCTGGAGAATCTGCTTGAGATGCTTCCAATGCCTGCCTCTAGATTGACCCTTGGGGTACTTTTCATACATCTGAATCTTCTTGAACTTCAAGTGGGTTGGCAGCACTAACTCTGCCTCCACCACTTCTCTCTCCATTCCGGCGCTTCAAAATCTCGGTGTATTCACTGTTTTGGCTGATACTTTTACAGTACAAGTGGAAGACAGAGTTTCCCTTACAGGACTCTTATCTTTGATCCCCACTGAGGCTTCTATGTTATCAGACCTATAAAAAGAAAAAAGCATGCTAAGAACAAGATAAACACTGGAAGAAACGAAATTCCAACCAGCTGGATTTGAACTAGCAACCTAAAGATGGACTGTTTTACCAACTACAATCCTTTGCTCTACCAACACAGCTAAGGTTTGATCAATCAACTCCAACAAGAGTTAATCTTTTTCCTTTTTAACTGAGGTAACCATGTTTGCCTTATCAGTAAATTCCTGTCAAGGAAAGGACAACATCTAATTTTACATATTTAACTAACACGATTTGATATTATAGCTTTACCAAGAATTAAATTCACGCATTTGATGTTAATCCTGAACAAGAGACCTACAGAATAGGAAATCCACCAGTCCTAACTCAATTATCCCAAGAACAAAAGGCATAGAAAATATGAAATCCACCGGCTCCTAATTCAATTACTCAAGAACAACACTCCTACAAAATATGAAATACACCGGTTCCTAATTCAATTATCCCAAGAAGGCAAGAATAAGAGTCATACAGAATAGGAAATCCACCAATTCGTAATTCAATGAACAAAGAACAACACTCCTACGGAAGAGAAAATCCACCATATCCTAACTCAATTACACAAGAATACAGAATAGGGCTTCACAACTCACACCAAAGAAGGGTATGGATATGCGCCCGAAGTAGCAGGTTTACCTGCTTGCTTCAACAACTGTAGTTCTCCGCTCTACCAACTGAGCAAATCTCGGTTATCGACACAATTGCACAGTTAAATGACTAAAGTTCACCATGTGACCAACTTTGTACCAAGTAATCATTTACACAACCATTAAATGAATTTTAAAATTCCATGGTGCAATGGAGAACAAGACCATGAGAAATATCATACAACCACAAAGATGTAATAGCCGGTACATACATTTTTTTTCTACTATTATGTAGACCTTCACAATTAAAGTTTTAGAATAGTTCATCATCAGAATATATTCTTGGATACTTAGCTTAAATTAATACCACACCAAAACATAAATAATCTGTATAAAAGATCCTAATTCTCACTATGAACATAAAGACCATAACTAAATTAGATTAAAGCACTGATAATTAAATTAGATTAGATCAAATATAAACCCTAGATTGTGAAATTGATGTGATGATAACAAAAACAAACAACTTACCTTAGAAGCTGCTTCAATGGGGAATACAAGAATTAGATTCCAATGGGGGATACAAGAATTAGATTCAACGGAGAACGTTGAGTGCGCTTCGATGGAGAACGTTGAGTACGCTTCAATGAAATAACTCAGAGACTTAGGACATAGGAATGGAGGCCTTTAAAAGCCATGACCCGCCATAGTTATAATATGGGTTAAACCCGTCTGATAAATAAATGAGGCGGGTCTTTATATGATCATAGATGGACTTTATAAAGGTTTTATGTAAATATGTTTTAAGTATTTTTTTGATATTTTCATATGTCAAAGCTTATATCAATTCTTTGAAAGTTTTTAAGAGTTTTTTTAAAAAAAACAGCTGAAATTACATTAATTAAACTAAGTTTACAACAAACAAAAGGACAGTAAGTAACATAAGTTACTATTGGCATAAGAAGCCCTTACGCAATATCAATTAAGGTCATTAACGACATATACTATTTAGCTATTACAACGAGTAAGGACAACGCATATAAGGCTTACCAATATACATTTAAACATGCGATGAGACTATTGATAAAACGAGGGAAGTTAGTGATGATGTTTCGTATTGTGCAAGATATTTTCTAACATATAATTAAAAGTCTATGAATGTTGCTGAAATGACGGAAACAACCCAAAATCAGTATGTCTTACATTAAGGGACCCCAATAATTCAAATGGATAAAATCCTCTTGAGATATATGCTTCATACATGTCAATCACATTTCTTTGTGATCTGACAATACCATATCTTATACTCCCTCCGTCCCATAATATAGTTCCTATTTTGTTTTTATCACGATATTTAAGAAATTGGAGGAGAAGTGGAAAAGAACTAGACAAAAGTACAAGGCAAGTGGATTATTTAAGGGTAAAAAAATGAAAAGTTCAACTATAGACAAAAGTTAGAGAGAGAAAGTAAAAAAAGTACAATGCAAGTGGATAAGTTAAGGGTAAATTAGGAAGTTCAATGAATAAAGTAAACATTAAGGGTATAATAGTCTTTACATACTATCCAAAAATAGAAACAGGAACAACATTTTAGGTCTCTAAAATAGGAAAACAAAAACTATATTGTGAGACAGAGGGAGTATATATTCTCATACAAGGCCATGATGTTGTAATGACTTTTACTGATATCACATACAAATAAGTTTAACAACACTTACTACGCATTTATGTAAATCTGAAATTGAAATTTTGCTACATCTCCCAACAAACATAAGTAACACCACTTCCATTAAAAGAATACATTTTTATTAAAAGTAAAGAGATTAAAAATGACAATTTCAAGAGTCAAACGACTCAATTCCTCCAATTTACCCCTGAATTCGACTTGTCTTCGCTTTTCAATCTATTATATTGGATGCTTCCAAAATCTAAGTTTTAATTTTTAGAAAAATTCACTATAATTTATTAATCCGAACTTTCAGCAATTTACTCTCAATAATCCCAAATTACGTTAATTAGAGAGCACTATGAACTTTTGGGTTGATTTTCTTCCACTAGATCGATTAACCAGTGACTTAAAGAAAGGGTGATTTTCATTTCGTAAAAGCAATGTGTGATGTGTCACAACATAATTGGTCCAAATTTTTTTTGTAAAAAAAAGAAAAAAAAAAATTAAAAACCCTTCCCAGCCAGCTACCATCCTTCCTCCCCTTAGCCTCAACCCCCGGCCCGACCGAAATTCGACCGCCCGCCTTCCCTAGCAACCGATAACAGCCAGTCGGGCCTTCTTTACCCCTAAAAACACTCTGGCGACCCACCTACACCATTAAAACCACCCCCCCATTTCCCATGATCCCATCCCCCAAATAGCCCCTCTCTTCTGAAGTCGATGAAACTGCCCTTCCTCCCTTCCCTTGTCGTTGAAACGATCGATTTTTTAGCTCCCTCAATTGGAGATTATTGCCAAGAAATTAAATGTAGTTGTGTTACTCAAGATTTTTGTGGTAAATTTTTTTAGATTTTTTTCTTACAAAATAAATAAATAAATAAATGGTAGTTAGTTGTTCTCAAAGTAGTCATTATAATGGTAGTTGTTGGTAAAATTATCTTAAATTTTCACAAAATTACCCTATATCTAAAGTATAATACTCCCTTCTTCACTTTTTATTGGATACGTTTTGACTTTTACACGTTTGTCAATACACATATTTGATTATTAATATTCATTACATACTTTTTAAAATTATAACAATTGAATATTAATAGAGCATTCGTTGAGATGAATCAAACATGATCTCACACGACTCTTTTACTTTCGTGAGTAAATTTAAATATTATTTAATTCCCTCTATCCCAGAATACATGACACAGTCAATATTGCATGCATGTCAATGCATTACTTTAAATTTATTTGTATATAATTAATTATTATGAAAATTATTTTAAAATTATATTTTGAAACTTTATATATATACCTATTTAACAACATATTTTATGATAAAATAAGTTTTTATTATGTTAGTAAAAAATTATGATCAAAACTAATACATAAATAGTGAAAAAAGTCCAACGTCTCATATATTTTGGGACGGAATGAGTATTATGAATAACTTTTAAAATATAAACATAACCAATAAAAAGAAACGGTTGAAGTATTATGAATAATATTTAAAATCTGATAATAACCAATAAAATACGGAGGGGTACCCTACAAATTTTATCATCCTAAAGTTTTTGTAAAAGAAAATCATCCTAAAGTAATTGAAACACTTTAATATACATTTTGTTGATACATAACATTATTTTACCTTTAATAATTTTAATCATATATTTATTATAATTAGTTGATATTATGAAATTTTATAAAATGTATCAATTTTTTGTGCATATTATTTATAGAATTCAAGTCAATCTCCTAACAAATTATGCCGATTAAAGTGATGCGCACTTTAAAAAATGGAGGGATTATTTTTTTTGCATTAAATGTTTGAATTTATTATAAAATGATTTATTATAATTGAGTTATATAAAGATATCTTAATGAATGTTATTTTTATACTAATAGTTTATATTAAAGTTATCAAAATCAAGATTCCACTTTGAATTGGAAGGGATTTAGATGTGTATGTATTACTGATGATAGTAGTTGTTTCAAAAGTTTTCTCACAAGTTTTTATTTCTTACATGAGAAGATTTTTCTTGTTTTAGGCTTAAATATATTAATTATGCATATTTTGACAATATTTATTTTTAAGATATAAAAGAATCGAGTGAGATGATTTTTAAGTGGTTGATAATTTTATTTGGTATGTATACATGTATGGATTTTTTAATATTCACATAGTATCTTATTAGGTATTTTATATACTTTGAAAATTAAAGTGTCATCATTATAAGAAGATTATGATTCTTGGATTGTTTGATAAATTCTATTTAATGACATGTTTACAAGCATGATAAGAAATGATAATTTAATTACGAGATGATACATTTATGAAACATGATTATTATTGATTTCTCACTCATAATTATAGATTGAAACAAATAAGTCAATTTAATACTCTTCAATAGAATGAGATGAATCAAATAAGGATTTCAATGTAGAAGTGTAATTATGCACATTTTGTGTATGTCATAACCATGTAATAAATTGATTAATCACGAAATAAATTATCACATATAACTATTTAAAAATATAATATTCTAACGAATAAATCACAAAAGAAATTCAAAAGAGGGGTGTAAATAGTGAAAAAGTGTAAATAATGCAATTAAAATAATTGATGAAATACTTAACAAATTACGTAAAATTATTTATTAATTAACAAATTACGTAGATATTTATAATTATAAAAACAAATGATTTATTCAACAAAAGTATTATCATTTTGCCCCGAGCCACTAGAATATTAGAAACGGCTATGAGTGGATCCAAGAAAAATAATTGACCTAAGAATATAAATATGAAACAACAAAAAAATCCGACCTGCCGGATTCGAACCAGCGACCTAAGGATTAATCTACTGAACAACTACAGTCCTCCGCCCTACCAACTGAGCGGTTCTTGCTAGTTGCTACCCTTATTCATAATTAATTCTATATTAAATGCACAAATACTTACGTTAGAAGTGAATTTGAACATTATCAATTCAAAATTACATCCGAAATTAATGAATTATTTATCCAAGATATATATAACCTAACAATTGCCAGCTAAATTCGAGTATTATACAATAGAATTCCTCAAATTCCTTTGAATTATTCGCACGTTTTCTCCTAAATCATACAAGAATAATCATCAGTATAGTAATTAATTAGACAACAATATGATATTAATCTAACATTAATAAAAATAAGAAAATCACAAGTCGCATGAAGAGAGACGAATCAGACGATTCAAGAGTTTGGAAGGGAAAATCAACGAATTTTATGTAATTAGGAAAAATTAATTCAACAACAAAAAGAAAAGCTTACCATTGACTGTAGAATGGAATCGAATCTGGATAATTAGGGTTTGTTCTCTCTGATCTAGATGAACTTGGGCAGGTTTTCGATTTCTCCTTTTCTGCCATGTCAATTTTAACTCGAACTGTGATGTTTGGGGTGAAGTTGGTTTTGAGGAAGCCGTGTAGGGTTGTGTTGATAAAAGCTACCCACTGATTTTTGGCAAAATTGGCCTTACTTACCTTAACAGCAACGCCACTGGTAATTGACACACCCCTAACTATCATAGTTAGAGTCTAGAGGTGTCCAAACCACATCGGATCCGAAAATCGACTCGAAACATATCCGTTCAGATTTCGACTTGTGTAGACATTTATTTATCATGACCCAAGTTTAAAAATGAACTTGAACTGACCTCACCAAACCCGATTTGTACACCTGAATTGACACCTCTAATAATAATTATGTTGGTAAAATTCAAACATAGTAAAAACTATGAAAATTAAATTTGAAAATTACATGTTGATATGAATTTAGCGTGATTTCACTTGATAATTTTTTTTCTTATACTTTGATGTACAATATAGGTTAAAGTTTATTCATATCAAACTAGATCAAATCCGAAAAATTCAAATCAGACCATTTTAGAAAATTCAATTTAGAACATCTTATTTCAGGCGAAGAGAAAGCCTTACTTTGATAAAATAACCCAACCCGAATTGCCTTGATTTGAACTTGAATTTTATCTAGAA